AAGAAGGGAAAGAGACGCTGCGGTAACCTGGTTTCGGGTGAACCTACTAGCTTGTTCCCGAAGGCGTGAGGCAAGCGACGGGACTTTTCAGTTATTAATCTACACCTCCCTCTTGCTGCATTCTCTCTAGCCGCCAGTTGAATGTGGCCGCGGGTGCAAGTAGAGGTCTATGGGGCTACCATTGACTGGGACTTGGAGCCCCCTGAACTCATAGAGGGGGATCTGGTGGAGCTCACGATCCCCGGGCGCAACATTCGACACGTTGACGGCCAGTTTGCGTGGAGGTCCATAATCTTGTCCGAGGACGTGTGGCTTTGGACGTACAGAGAGCACCGGCCGGGGCAAGGAGTGGGCGTAGTGAGAACCTACTTGTATTTGGGACCGGGTGCGGTCAGGGAGGCCGTGGTGGGCCTCGCGACGACAGGGACTAGTGGCACGGTTAGCAGGACGTTACGCTACCTGGGGGAAGAGGTAGCTGCCTTCCGAGCGGAGGACTCGAGCGACCCATTGACCCTATTTCACGGACGCCCTCCTCTTGATATCACGGGCGAGCTGGTGGTAGCACGGAACGGGTTTTTCCCGTACAGCGTTAGGAGCCTGCGGGCGATAGTTCCGACGTTCGTAGTAGAGGGCGACTTTGGATGGCAGTAGGAGGGCCTTTAGCGGGCTAACCGATTCAGGACAGGGCTAAGAGAACTAGCAAGGAGGACGGAGATAGACGCTCGGAGACTCTTGAGGGGTGTTGATCAGGAGACATTGGCTAGGTTTGGGACTGCGATCTGTCTCAAGGATAGAGGTCTTGTCACGGGTGTACTGCAGATCCGGAGAGACACGGCCTTGTTGGCCGATCCCGAAGGAGAGGTTTACTTAGACACAGGGATTCTTGGGATAGAGGGAGAGCACGAGATCTGCGACCGGTACGGGATACTGGAAGTGGTAATCAAGGCGGTCGAGAGCTAAGATTGGAGGCGGACGCGAACCGTGACAAGGAAACAGGTCCGGGCTGCCGCAACTGTCACAAGTCCGGGTTGCAGCGACTGTCATAGGGTCGGGCTGTAACAGTTGGCTAGAATACCTAACTGCATCTTCTGGCGGTCCAATGGAACTCGACACGATGGGGCCACAACCGAGTATGGGCGAAGCGGGAGAGGAGTACAGGACATCGCCCGATCGAGCTCTGAGAGATCTGAAGGAACGAATTAGGCGAGAAGCACCGCTGAGATGGGCTGATAAAACCAATGACAAAGGGCCCGACGTAAGGGGCGAACCAGTTGCGACAGAGCCGCAGGAGGCTCTAAAGACGGGTACCTCGAGCGGACGACGAGAAGCGACGAGGCGACGCTCCCCCGAGTACGAGCGGAGGGGCACCATAGCGGACAGGCACAGAGACGACTGGAGAGAGAGTTTGAGGGATTCCTATTGGAGGGACAGAGATAGAGACAGGGCGCCGCCCAAGCGAGTCTTCGACCCCTAGACAGGGGAGTCACATCCG